CTAGAAGGATGGTAGATAGTCAACAATCGCCAGCTCTTGATCTACTCTTCTAGACTAGAAGGATGGTAGATAGTCAACAATCGCCAGCTCTTCATCTACTCTTCTCAGATCGAATTGTGGGATTTAACCGTCATTTTTATAAAGCACAAGTGGATTCAATGTCCGGGGTGCGATTTTTACATTTTTTTTCAGGACTCGAACTCGAAATCTTCTGCTCAATAGTATGGCACACTAACACTAATCCTCAAAATATATATAATAAGCGTGAATGCATAATTATCATCATCATGTGAAAAGAAGCTCGAATTTATTTTGCAATTCAACAGAATTGTTTTATGTAAAAACAAAAAACATTATCGAAGCTTCTGTCATCAACAATGTAAAAACGTTTACCATAATGACAGAAAAGTCCGGTAAGCTAGAGACTGTAAGCTAGAAACTTGAAGGCCCCAAACAGTTAAAGGTTTAAAAAAAAGGCGATCTTGGTAAATTAGTAACTCCTTACCCTTAAACTTAAAAATGATTTTGACAAGTTAGTAGCTCCTTACCTTAAGCTTAAAATGAATTTGGTAAGTTAGTAAATCCTTAACTTAAGCTTAAAATTGCATTTGGCAAGTTAGTAACTCCTTACCCTTAAACTTAAAAATGAATTTGACAAGTTAGTAACTCCTTACCTTAAGCTTAAAAATGAATTTGGTAAGTTAGTAAATCCTTACCTTAAGCTTAAAATTGCATTCGGCAAGTTAGTTACTCCTTGCCCTTAAGCGTAAAATTGGATTCGGCAAGTTAGTCACTTCGTAAATTAGTTAAAATTGCATTTGCTAAGTTAGCAACTCCTTACCCTTAAGCTTAAAATTGCATTTGCGAAATTTTACAGATTATTTACCCTGGTTATTTTAAAACAAAACTAACGTGTTTATAGATTAAATATGTACATTTCTTCAAAGTTTGTAAGTGTTTGTACCTACATTTGTATGTACGTTAACCCTTTGGTTTCCTGTAGTTTTATATACGTTTCGCTTCAGCTAATGTACTAAAGTTTATATTAAATATATATAGAAACACAATTTCCTACGCATATAAATGTGACGTTTAAATTTCTCTTTGACAATATAATTTATAACTTTCACTATATATTCGTGTTCGTGCAAATAAATATAACGTATTACATAAATCCCTCAGTAACATTATAATTTATAAAGTCTTAACTATTCGTTAATTATTTTATGCATACAAATCTAATGCACTATTTAAAAGGCTTAGCAAAAATATAACAGCTTATAATCTTAACTATCTATTGATTTGTTTACGTAAGCAAATATACTATTTAAATCGCTCAGTAACAATATAATTTGTCATCTTCACTATCCATCGGTATTGTAATCATTTTTTTAATAAGTTTTATGAATAATCTTTTAGTGGAAAAGGGTTAACGCACTCCAGCAATGTCCTTGTTTATCATTGACATCAAATGATATTAGTTTTTTGCACTTAAATACAGAAAAAAGTTCTGAGTAGGAAAGTGTTTGGTTGAATTTCAATTTTGTGTATTCTCTCCTCATATATTTATCAACACTGACATGCTGAATGGTTATCTTCTCTGGTTACAACACTAACACGCTGTATGTTCATCTTATTTAATCAGAACTAACATGATAAATGTTTACCTTCTCCAGTCACAACACGAACATGCTGAATGGTGTTTATATTATCTAATCAGAACACTAAAATACTCAATGATGCCCATATTATAAAAACACTAACATGCTGAATGATGCTCATATTATCCAGTCAGAACACTGACATACTGAACGTTTATCTTTATATTTTTATTTTTTGTTAAAAGTAATGACGATAACATATAGTACAACACAGCTACTTCTATATAGTAGTTCATGGTTAATACTATTTTATATTCTGTAGTTTTTTACTCCTTTAACAAGATCCATAAATCAAGATATATAACACCATGTTTTACCACATGCAGTTATAAATAGGCTATCTTAAAATGTTTACCTGTGCTATATTTGAGCATTTGTAACGATAATTGGGTGTATTAAGGATCCAGTATTTGATTCGCAACGTAGAATAAGCCCAATCCAATTTGTAGCACAGCGTATATAGTAAGAAAGGAAAACAGAATACTGAAGATTGTTCCTTACAAATGCTCTCTAACTATACAAGGTTGATAACGTTATATTTAATTGATTTTGGAGCCTCATCTCGTCGTTACAGTCTACGTTGCCACGTCTAACGATCGTGCATTTTAACAATGGTACTGCAGCGTAGTTTCCATTTCCAAAAGCTCTCGTGTAAGGCTGGAATGTGCAAAGCACGTAATTCCTCTCTGCTACTTTCCATAAGCCATCTAGTGTATGAGGACGACGATTTCCTAGCGTCCGTTCCAACATTTTGATCACAAAAAGTCCATAGGCACCGAGTCCGGCGACGAGGCAGGTATTCCGATTCATTCGCCAGCTGTGTGAAGTATGCGAGAGCTAAATAGATATGTCGTGGAAGCAACTTGTGCACATGTGACTTATGTCACTTTTCCAGCCAGAGATAATTTTTCATTATGTTGGGTACTGCTGCCTCAGTCACATGGACGGCGTTTGCCACTGACATTTGTGTCGTGGATTCTCACCTGTTACAAGGCGCTGTATTTTGCTTACCACAGCTGGGTCTCTTTTTGAACGGTCCCTGGTTCCCCAAGTTGATCCATATTCCATTGTTTTAGAGTGTCATAAAGTACAAAGTATATATCCCCTTACAGAAATTCTATCTCCCCGATCTGAACAAACCTTTATGACATGAGTGTATGAATGTTTTGCGTCGGAAAGGGCTGTTACATATTCTTCCCAAAAGCGACTAACTTTCGGTGGCATCATACTACCTATGTAATGCCAAACAATGTAAAATGTAGTTCTGATACAATCCGCTCCACTGGGACTTTACATCGGCTGTGGTTGTCACGTGACTTACTGACTTACAAATTTCACAAGACCCTGGACCTGGGTATGATATTGCAAGTGTATTAAATGATACTCACTTTAAATGTCCTGCTGTGATGTTGGAGGTAACGTCATACAGATTTCTCAGAAAATTAAATTTAAGCTTGGACAGATTAAGTAGCCTAACAAGAAAACCGTTTTTCATCTGTTCACCTGAATGAATATTAGGATTGAAAGGTCAGTTACTAAATCTTAAATAATGTTCGAACGAGTTTGAGTGTGTATTTAAAGTTAAGCACAAAGCTACACAATGGGCTATCTGTGCTCTGCCAACCAAGGGTATCGAAACCCGGTTTCTAGCGTTGTAAGTCCGCAGACATACCGCTGTGCCACTGGGGGGGGGGCATAATGTTTATGTATTAACGTAAATTTTCCGAAAAAGGAACATTCCTTAAATATGGATACAAGTAAATCTACTTGTATTTGCAAAGCATGAATATTCTTGAATAAATTAACGACTTCATATTTTATACGTATATATATATATCTTTAATTTTTGTTACTTTAAAAAGTGTAATGTGAAAGGTAAGGGTGACCAGTTCGTTATACAATAAAGCCCGGTTCACACTCAATCATAAACTAAATACTAAGTATTTATATGGTAACTTTACACATATCTAAAAATGTAGTTAAAATCTCAAAAGGTCATATTTAGGTGTGACGTTAGTCGGTAGTTTCACGAATATAACATTTGTCATTGTACGAGGTTCAATCCTATTCTGAGAATCCAACTGGTATAGAAAGAAAAAAAGGTCTTCACAGTTTTATAGTCTGTCTGCACAAGACTGGCTTTGCATCTGTCTTGCTATTATTTATACAGGTTGAGAGGTATATTATATTTCCTGTACACTGTTGATCACGAGCGCAATGTTTACGATCTTTCGCAGACCATACAATGGGAGTGAGTAACATAAGCTATTGACGTTACACAAGAACAGTCTGTGTGTGTGTGTGTTGTTGACAGTAATATAACGTTTCCCTAGACAATACATTTGTAAGCCCAGTCTTTAAGAACTTAATGATTACAACTTGTAAAGTAATAGAAACAAGTAATTACAGTCATTTCAGTGCCTTTCCAAAAAAAAATCTTTCATGAGTAACGAACGTGACAGATCCATGTGAAGTCCGCCACTTTGTTTATTACAACCTAATGGTGATTAGGGAGCTCGATTCGCAATCTGCGGGTCGCAGGTTCGAATCCCCGTCCCTCCAAATATGCTCGCCCTTTCAGCCATGGGGGCGTTATAATGTCGCGGTCAATCCCACTATTCGGTGGTAAAAAAAGTAGCCCAAGAATTGGCGGTGGGTGGTGATGACTAGCTGTCTTCCCTCTAGTCTTACAGTGCTAAATTAGGGACGGCTAGCGCAAATAGCCCTCGTGTAGCTTTGCGCGAAATTCAAAACAAACAAACATACAACCTAATATTTCCGTCACAGAATTTTTACAAGTCACACTGTTGTTCCTCAAATTTATATACAAATTATGAGGTCCTGATAATATAAATATTGTATCAAAAGTTATAGCCTTTAGCATGCTGTTATAACTAGCCCTCATTAAACGACTGTCAGGATGTTGCATTCGGTGATGATTCACTCAAGTCTACCTAGTATAAGCAGAGATAGAGTTAAAAAGCTATGAAATAAAAATTGAGAAAATTATATGTGATAAAGTGCATGCATAATTTAATATTTACGTACGCAAGTGTTTGAAAATGCCAACTGGAATTGTAACTAATCGCTCAGGGGCCAGGCTTCCTATCACAAACACTTCAGTTTAAATACATAAGCTAAATTGATTTGGGACATAGATCGAGTGCGTGGGGCATACACACATAACAACTGCAATATACGAAGTTATGAAGGGAAGACAAGTAACACATTTTGTTAAATAAACTGTGTTCTCAAGTGGGGAAGAAAGGATAAACATGGTACAAGCATTTCGTGTCTTGTGAAACATTAAAGGCCGCGAACTGACATCAAAATCCTTACCGGTAATTTCTTGTCTTGTTTCACTCGGAACTTCTAACGGTCGAATCAACCTGTCCTTCCCGCCATCGACAGATGTTCGTTAGAAACGCGTACGTTTTGTTTCAAGCACGTGCGCACGCCTTACACAGGGACAGGTAGCAGCTGCGCCACTGTGGCGACGTCTCGTGGAGCATGCTCAGTGGTATAAATGAATGGAGTCTCAGGTGAATGTGCTCTTTGCGTCTCATGCTTTTGCTAGGCTCTTGAGCTGCTCTTCCCAACGATTCCTGACAGGACCATAAGACTTGCTACACCACTCCTCAAAGCTGCAGTTCAACTCTTGTGGTACTGTCAGCCTAACAACAAACAAAATCATAGTAAAATAAACCACCAGTTTTACTCTAAAGACCCTCATCAGGATCACCATGGCTACGTTAAACATTTGCAAGTGTCAAACTAAAACTCCACATGTCCGTTAATTCACAAGCTAAGTTTTCATACTTATGCCCGTTGGAGTGACGTAGCCTCCTGAAAAAATCTAGGCATATTGATCACATATTATTTTTCAGCTTTTCGTATATAATAATCTCGTTTTGTATAATTTAATAAAAAAAAACAATAAAACTTCTAAAAAAACATCTGATTTGTTTTAATGACCATTTGATTAAAAATTTAGATCATTTTCAGCTTTTTAATTTACTTGCCCCCTAACATTTTCTGCCCCCGAGTGGGAAAATCTGGCTACGCCACTGGCACGTTGTAGAATAAAGCATAAAAGCATGGCATCTTACTTATCCATTTTTAAAATTTACGTTGCGAGTTCGCACGTTGATATTTAGTTCTGATCTATGTAAGTAGCGTTTTTTGATAAAAATTCAGTATTAATTACCTCTGGTTCAACTTTTTGGCATTTTGAGTCAACAGTGACCATAAAACAATCAATATACACACACTCAACTTGTTTTCAAAGTAACTCAATGTATGGCGTGTTACGCTACGTAACCGATTACGGGATTTAAGTTCTTTTCCAAACAACTGAATTATTCACGAAGATGACTGGTTTTGTCATGCCAAATTCGTTGTTCCTCTTCAAAAAATATGAGTATTAAAATAAAAGATATACAGAGAACTGCTAATAGAGTTAAAGTAACTGAAAGCCAGTACGTAGCATCTATGCGTTTCGGTACCAACGCAACAAAAATGTAGTAATTAATGCATTTTGTTTGTGACTATTGACGATTGGTAAAAATATTCGTAACAAATTCTGCGTTTGATTCGATTGTAGGTTTAATGTATTTCATTAGCTGAAAACCACTGCAGACTTTATTTGACATTATCTTTTGTTTGCTACACGATGGGTTACCTCAACTGTGCCCACGATGAATATCGAGTCCCGGTTTTTGGAGTTATAAGCCTTCAAACCTACCGCCGAGCTACTAGGAATGGGACTTCAATATACTAAGAAAATGTAATCTAAGTCAAAGTGCTAAAAAATCAAAAATATTCCATATACCTTTTTTAGCATCATAAGGAAGATATTTAAAATAATAACAATAAACTAACAGGTTAGCTGGAAAGTTTTAAAAAGAAATCGTGATCTTGTGGAAGCTTCAAAAAAAACATGTTTGTTTACTTGATGCCCTAAAGCAAATAAAACGAGTAATATTTTAAATAAATTTGAACAATAAAGTAATTTTACTATCTCAACACAGCAATGCAAATACTCATGCGAAAGAGGGTTACAATTTTATCGGTTTTTCGCCTTACACTTGGGGTACTGTCAAGTATGTCTGAGATATGCTAGAAATGATAAATAATATCAAATTGGAAGCTTACTTATGCTTAGTTTAGTCTGAATTTCGCGCAAAGCTAATCGAGAGCTATCTGCACTAGCCTTCTCTATTCCAGCAGTGATGTAAGGCAGCTATCCAACACCATCCACTGCCGACTCTTGGGTTTCTCTTTTAACAACGAACAATGAGAATGACTGTCAGATTATAACGCCCTCATGGCTGAAAGAGATAGCATGTTCGGTGAAAGGGATTCGAACCCGTGACCCGTAAGTTGCGTGTCGAGCGCCCTAACCACCAGACCTTGCCAGGCCTCAAATCTGGACGCTCACACAAATATGCAAGCTCGATCAGAACTTACATTAAATCTTATATGGACAAGATCCGTTTCGGTCTTCGTACTGAGGTCTTATTGTTATGTCGTCCGTTGTGAATTTCATGAGGATGTGCCCCATGGAAGAAGATTCAACGTCACAATTATTTACTTCATCTGTACTATCTTTAAAACCTGCCAAATCAGATACTAACAAGCAAACACAGGTTAAAAGAGCAAATTTTGAGGAATTTACAAACTCCCAATCCTGGCCAGGTGGTTAGGGCGCTCGACTCGCAATCTGAGGTTCGCGAGTTCGAATCCCCGTCACACCAAACATGCTCGCCCTTTCAGCCGTGGGGACGTTATAAGTGACGGCCAATCTCACTATTCGTTGGTAAAAGAGTAGCCCAAGAGTTGGCGGTGGGTGGTGATGACTAGCTGCCTTCCCTCTAGTCTTACACTGCTAAATTAGAGACGGCTAGTGCAGATAGCCCTCGTGTAGCTTTACGCGAAATTCAAAACAAACAAACTCCCAATCCCTACCAAACTATCTATGTTTGACTTTAACGTGTGACTACCCTACCATACCAGTACGCGTAACTCGTTCACATTTTTCTAACACAATTCTATTTTACACTTTTACCAACAGGTATTATGTATCAACATTAACGAAAAACGCGTTTTACATAATTTTGCTGAAAAAATCAATAGATTATCAAAAATATTATTTACTTTACTTTTTATAAGTTATCCTACAGTATTTTTAAATAATTTTTTTAAAGGACTGGTCAATTTTGTTCAATAAAAACTGTGGGTTAAATCAGTTTCGAGAAATGGCCCTCTCCAGTATCCCTGGGCTACGCTAAAAAAAAGGGGGCAAAAATGGTCTTTTATTAAAAATGGAGAAAGAGATAGCATTAATTTAAATTAACGTCGATTCTAACTCATCTGTCCTCCGTCGGGTCAGCGGTAAGTTAACGGACTTACAACTCTACAAACCGACGTTTGATTCCCCACGGTGGACAGAGCACATATAGCCCCTTCTGTAGCTTTGCGCTAAAACAAACAGGTCCAGCGTATTTCATTTCACTGCTAGTCTGTGCTAGAAAATGATATTCTAGCAAACTTAAGCTATGTCTTTCAGCAATAATTTTCTCTCATTATGGTTCACGCAACCCGCCAGATTCATAATCTGGCCACAACCGAATCAGTTGTAATTTTCATATGCTAATTTGACATATTTTAAACTTTGAAGTTTTAAGTGAAGCCAATTCATTGCAAGAAATGAAAGTAAAATAGGTAGAGATCGATAACCCTTCAATTTTTATTTGAGTGATTTGAGTTTAATATATCAGTACCCCTCACATTTAAACAATGTCAGATATGAGAATAATTTACAACCTTTATATACTGTTATTGAATTTACGTAGCTTTCTCTGATCAGATTCAAAATTTTCGCTATTGATCAGATGTGGTCGCATTATGAGAGTGATAGTGAATCCCGGTTACGTGTTTGTTTGTTTGTTTGT